ACTCTTGAAACCTAATGCACATAGTTCAGGGTTTCAAATTCTGTATTTAGAGCGATCAATTCTGTGTTTGATTGTTTTTGTTTTTGTTTGTTTGTTTGTTGTCAAAACATAGTCCAGCTGTACGACTGCAGCCCATAAATATCGATTCTGGACGAGACATTCCAGCGATTGACAATATGATGTTTGTTTATTTGTTTGTTGTTTAACGCCGCACTCAGCAATATTCCAACTAAATTATGGCCGCCGGCAAATAATAGAGTCTGGACCAGACAATCCAGTGATTAGCATCGTGAGCATCGATCCGGGTTAGAATAGGTCTTCAGCAACCCAGGCTTGACGTAGCGGGATCATGTAGTCAGGCTCGCTGACTACTTTGTTGCTCCATGTCATTGTATCCCAATTGCGTATTTCGATGTTCATGTCAATCCGCGATATGACTGGAATACTGTTAAAAGCGGCGTTAAACCCAACTCACTCACTCACTCACTCACTCATGTCAATCACCTGATTGTGTTGTCCCAATTCTAGTATTCACAGACCGCCGTTATATAGCTGGAATATTCTTGAGAGTGGCGTTAAACAACAAAACAAAATTGAATCTGACCAATAATAATAGTTGTTTTTTTTGTTTGTTTGTGTGGGGTTTTTTTTGTTTTGTTTTTTTTGGGGGGGTTAGGGGAGGGGTTTTTGCTACGCGATGTTTTGCTGACCTTTATTGTCATTGACAGCTTTCCAATGAGGTTTAACTACCTAGTGTCGTATGGCAGACACTCGTTTCTTAACCTGAGAGAAAAAAAACACTCTTTACGAAAGGCCTGGAAGCTCACACACAAAAAACATAGGTCTGAATGACCGCCGAGTAGGGAATTGGGTGCTTAAACTCAAGAACGTCATTACCAACTGTAGTAGCCAAATACTGCAAGCGTTTGAGCGTCAGGCCGCAGATTGGGTTTGAATTCCTCTTTCCTATTTGTGAAACCCATGTTTGTTTTCTACGTCGTGATATTGATACAACATTGCGTATACCTGAGCCAAAACTCGTTTCCATGTGAACACGCGTACACAATGACCACCTGTTATCTCCATGCCCAAGAGTTATCGAACGGGAGTACTCACATCCGACTGTGGCGTTGCTAGTAAGAGAGCACTCGTGTCGCAATATTATAGAGGAGAGACTACAACAGATTAGGTGACTTAATGTCACAGCTGAATCACGACGATGTTTAAATAAAAGCGACGAAACCTTTAAATAATCATGAATAAAAGTGACAAAACTTGTTCAAAGGACATCTCTGCTGAAACCAGGGTCCATTCCGACCATAGCAAAGTACGTGTTCATGTGTTCAAGAATCACTTTGAGTACGAGTCATATAATGCTCTCTGAAACCTTCGTGGACAGAGCATGTTTCGCATAAAAGGTGCGAATATAAGGGAACCTATTTTCCTCTGAAATCACAAATGGACAAATATACCGAGAGGGTATTCTGCTCGGAAATAATCAAGGGACAAATATACAGGTCTATTCTGCGTGGGGTGAGTTCGGTTAAACGCCGCTTATATCACGGTGTGTCAGCTTAATGTGGGAGGAAACCCCGAAGTGATGCAGACGTTTACCACTTTGGTGAAACATACGAGCACGGGTATGGTGCTGACAAACCTAGAAACATAATCGGGGCGAAGTGAGATTCACACCCATCTGCCCCGGAATCACCAAGGGAAGAATATACTGAGGACCTGAGGCAAGAGAGTTAACTGACTATAAAAGTCCAGTTTCAACCCTTGCCGAACTAGGCTGGAATTACTGGCCTTGATCGTAGTGCCACCCGTGGCTATTACGAGTTATGTCCCTTCTATGCCTCTCCTATGGACCACTTGCATTTGCTTCAAACAATATGGCAGCGCCCGGTCAAGACAATCTGATCGATAATCAAGATCTATATTGTGATAAAACGAGTCTTACATCGCGAAGTGCATCAAATCGAAGTGAGCACCTTGATTAAAAATATGAAAAGATTTGGAAAATATCTGTTTACAACGAGTTCGGTGCACATGCTTTGCAAATCCTGCAATCGACCGAAATCTGCAGGACATTTTACCAACCGGATTTCGATTTCGATGCGCGATTTTGATTGGACTATGCAAAGACTCGTTAGTAAAACCAAATTGCAATTCCATAATACCAGCCTGGTTCGGCAAGGGTGTAAACTGGACTTTTAAAGTCAGTTAACTCTCTTGCCTCGGGAAAATGACAGCGGACCTATTCTGCCTCGGACCGAGGGAGAAACATACTGAGGACCTATTCTGCCCCACGAAATACTTGAGGCGTCTCAACTTTTCTAACTTAGTCTCCTTAGCGAGGGTGTACCAGCTCTTTAAAAACCTGCTACTTTTATCACACTCCTGTGAATATTGTCGAGTCGATGGATATGTTCACATGTAAATTGAAGATACATATTAGCAATGCTGAATCCCCCTCAAAATAATGTACATCAGTCCCCCGTGTCCGCTCTTAACGAGAGACTTTTGATGTTAGTACGCAGTAAGGGCACACACACACACCAATACTGCTGAATTAAAAACCGACAAGTGTACCTAATTTGTCTGAGTCGAATAGCGACAAATCGTAAAACAAAAGAAACCCATTAATACAAAATAGAATTATCCATAGCAACGCTCAGTGTTGTATTTTGAGAGTAACAGTTGTATTGCTGTAATCACCTACAATTACCAAACCAAGCCCACGGCTCTTCTTAACGTAGTCTATCCTATCAGGTGAGGTTTGAGTTTAGATTTTTGCAGCTTTACATTATTTCTGCAATATCACGGAGAATGAACCCATTATGGAATACACGCATGGTACCCATCCGTTTCAGGCACTTGCCCCCTCTACAAGCAGCCCCGACTGCGAATGGGACTTCTCCCAGACAGCGAATGGGACTTCTACCAGGAAGCGACTCCCAGTCGAACCCTTCCAGAACTTTTCCCCAACACTGCAGCCTTCTGCATTACCCAGATTGTCAGGAGGGCTGTATTCCTGGTACCAAACCTGGGTACTCTCCCAATGTCGGTCAACAGATTGGAGGTACCAAACCTTAAGCACCGAGATATTTCGAAAGCGAGGTCTGCATATTTGCCATGTTATTTCCTCAATCTTGTCTATCACATTAGTGTCAAAAGGTTCAAACAATTCAATGATATAAGTGGTCTCATTGGATTTATCAAAAAGGACAAGATCAGGTTTGTTGGCCCGGATAGGTCTGAGGCTATATACTGGCCTATTCCAATGAACTTTGTCTTTATCATTTTCCATGAAGTCCTTTACATAGTCATTGTCGTACCATATAATGATTGTTATTGTTATTATTATAACAATAATAAACCGTTAACAACAAGTCTAACATAGGACAGAAATCACACTTTCTCCCAAACAAAGGACTTCATTTCTTTGGACAGGTATATAGTTAACTTATCCAAATACACGCCTTGCGTCAGACAGCGGTGATATTTGTCATCAACGTTAACGACAGTACATACAGGCGTCACATTTCTAGTGACAGCACTGATCATCAAATGTCAGATGTAGCGGGCAAATATTAAACTTCGTGTAATTATTTGATACAATCAGCGAAACGGTTCTGATAATGCAAACGTGACAACGGCAGATAAAACAGCCCAAGCTCGACCGATCATATAGCTGTCCTGTTTATTCATGTACAATGTATCTGACGCGACTTTGTTTATGAATTATCTCGCTTTGTGTGAATGCACGAACGTACACATTAAAGTACATGCCGCCATTTTCCCCGACACATCGTTATGGCAAACATTCAACCTAGGATTCCCTGTCATCACGATATAACCCAATATTTGCTCGAAAACACTGTCTGCTTTCTCCACTGAACTGGCTTAATGAAAACGTTTGTATACACTCATGAGATACTGTTGCATGGCTGTCATCTGTGTTGACAATGAAGCCCTTCCTCTAACATATCACCGCCATTGCACGCAAACGATTGAAGCGTGTGGTCCCTCGAGAGTTAGTCAAAGGGAGACAACTCTTGTAACATCTGTTCCCGCTGTTTCAGTAATTTCTGTCAGTTCGTTTTAACATTTAGAAATAAATACTTCAAAAGCATATGTGTTAATATTGACATAGAGTTAGCTTTATAGTTGGTGTATTTGATTGGTATAATGTGCTGTTAAACTGCAGTTTACACGCAACGAAACTAAACAAAATAGAAAATCGTTCCAAGTTTTGGTGATTTTATAACGCGCGTATAGACGTGAGTTTGCCCACGTTTGCCTATTTCAAACCATTCATAGGCCCCATTATTCATATAAATAGAATTATTTAAGAAGCTGCCTCATTCACTTCTCGGTACTGTTCTAATAGCATTTGGGGCGGTGGGGCAGCCAAGAGGGTACGGCATTCACTCGTCACGCCGAAGACCCAGGTTCGATTTCCCACATGAGTACAATGTGTGAAGTCCATTTTTCGGTGTCCCCTGCCGTGACATTGCCTGAATAGTGCTAAAAGTGGCGCAATACCATCCTCACTCACTCTAATAGTCTACACGTGTACACAAAGCCGGGCCCATTTCTGATATTCCCAGCCGTGATATTGCGGGGATATTGTTAAACATTAAGCCATACTCACACATTTACCAAAAGATTATATATTAATTTTAAAAGTGTACATTCACTAGAAATATGCGACAATCAAGCAAGTGCTATTTAGTGATTGGTTGACCGAAAATGAAGAAATCAAGGACAAGGGAGTGTTGGTTCTCGCACAATAAAATCCTGCAGGGAGAATAAACCACTCGGGGCTGCAGCCCTCATTGTAAATTCTCCCCGCAGTGTTTTATTGTACGATACACAACACATCCTTGTCGTTTATTTCTTAAATAATCTTTCTTCCTGTTAGCCAATGAAAGTACATGCTTCCCGTGGCTTGCGTCTCGGGTAGTGGTCGACTAACGCTATCAGCTAGTTATTACCTGTCATTATCTCACCTGGAGGTTTGGGAGAACCGTAGACTGTCCCCCCACTGTTGTGCACGTAGCTAGCCCGCTGCATCCCTATGGGGCCGGGACAGGTCTCTGTCAGTTCTGGTGTCTGACGGGCGGGACTTGTTCCTGGAAGTTAGAGGTATGTTACTTGAGGTCATACAGACAAACTACCGGTATTACTATATGTAATGGCCACTCTGTCCTTTATATTCATATGTTTTTCCTTATTCTCATCTCACAAACTTGTATGACCATAACGGTCAGCTCATAGACCATTCTGACCATCTAACTGACTCTTCCGTGTTCATTATATCGACTACTATAATACATTGACTTGTGCATGGATATGTGCATGTAAATTGTCTAACCTTTTCTTAAGTTTGTGACATGCATGTGCAACTTATTTGTCTAACCTTTTATTAAGTAGGCTATATGTATGTGCAACATATCTGTCTATCATTTTCTTAAGTTGGTGATATACATGTCCAACCTATTTGTCCAAACTTTTCTTAAGTTGGTAATATGCATGTGCAACTTATTTGTCTAACCTTTTCTTAAGTTGGGGATATGCATGTGTAACTTATTTGTCCAACCTTTTCTTAAGTTGATGATATGCATGTGCAACTTATTTGTAAGTACAACGTTATCTCTAACCTTGTCTGAGGTAGGATCATGAAAGTACAAAGTTATCACTAACCTTGTCTGAGGTAGGATCATGAAAGTACAAAGTTATCACTAACCTTGTCTGAGGTGGGATCATGTAAGTACAGGTTATCTCTAACCTTGTCTGAGGTAGACTCATGTAAGTACAACGTTATCTCTAACCTTGTCTGAGGTAGGATCATGTAAGTACAACGTTATCTCTAACCTTGTCTGATAGAGGATCATGTAAGTACAACGTTATCACTAACCTTGTCTGAGGTAGGATCATGTAAGTACAGCGTTATCTCTAACCTTGTCTGAGGTAGGATCATGTAAGTACAACGTTATCTCTAACCTTGTCTGAGGTAGGATCATGTAAGTACAGCGTTATCTCTAACCTTGTCTGAGGTAGGATCATGTAAGTACAACGTTATCTCTAACCTTGTCTGAGGTAGGATCATGTAAGTACAACGTTATCTCTAACCTTGTCTGAGGTAGTATCATGTAAGTACAGCGTTATCTCTAACCTTGTCTGAGGTAGGATCATGTAAGTACAACGTTATCTCTAACCTTGTCTGAGGTAGGATCATGTAAGTACAGCGTTATCTCTAACCTTGTCTGAGGTAGGATCATGTAAGTACAACGTTATCTCTAACCTTGTCTGAGGTAGACTCATGTAAGTACAACGTTATCTCTAACCTTGTCTGAGGTAGGATCATGTAAGTACAGCGTTATCTCTAACCTTGTCTGATAGGGGATCATGTAAGTACAAATTTATCTCTAACCTTGTCTGAGGTAGGATCATGTAAGTACAACGTTATCTCTAACCTTGTCTGATAGGGGATCATGTAAGTTCAAATTTTTCTCTAACCTTGTCTGAGGTAGGATCATGTAAGTACAAAGTTATGTCTTACCTTGTCTGAGGTGGGATAATGTAACTTCAAAGTTATGTCTTACCTTGTCTAAGGTAGGATCATGTAACTACAAAGTTATGTCTTACCTTGTCTGAGGTAGGGTCATGCAAGTACAACGTTATGTCTTACCTTGTCTGAGGTAGGCTAGATGTCTGTACAGCATGTCTGCGTTGTGGGGCGACACCAAGCGACAAAGGTCGTCCCTGCTCATCCGACAGAGTTGTTGGCCGTCGATGTGTTGGAATTTGGAGTTGTCGACGTCACGGAGGCCGTACTCCTGGATAGCCCAGTCTAACCACTGTTGGACATGCACTTGTGACCACAAAGATACATCTGAAAGATAATGAAACAATGAAAATATGAAACTTTATATATATAATAAACATTAAAATATATGCGCCTCTCCACGATTATGCTTTCATCGATATTCTTAGTTATTCCTCTTGCTGTCACTGTGCTGGTAAAAAAAATGTTTCTTTGTTGCTCATTGCACTCAGCAATATTCCAGATAAACAGCATATAAATAATCGAGACTTGACCAAATACTTGATTGATATTATGAGCAACGTACGATGCCCTCCGAGTTTGACCACGAGATCAATAAAGTCAAGTTCTACGATAGGCATACGTTGCTGAAGGCCTATTCTAACCCGGAAATTCCTCGCGAGAGTAAAGTACTGTCATTGCATTCCAGTTCGAATGTTTTAACCTACGGTAGACTTTTGATTTATTATACATTTTTGGTCGAATAAATATATATCTATCAAGGTATAGGGACGGTGTATGTACGATAGTTAGCTTCGTCATTAAAAAATTACCCGTTGCCATGGATATTTAAAACAGGTGATAGTATGTGACATATCGCCATGAACACACGACAAGTTTTAGAACGAGAGACAAACTTCAGCCTTATTGATTTATTTCTAGTAACTAATCTATTTATAAGTAAACTTAACTGGTATTACCTTTATGCTGCTACTCATACAACTTAGACTACCGGACACAGAAAGTATGCACTTGAAAATTAACGTGATCAAGAAGATAATAGGTTGAAAACAGTCGCCGAAACATTGCAAACGTAAATCCAAAACAACTAAGATACCCGTATCAAACGCATCACTTTGAATAACCATTTCCTGTTTGTTTAGCCACCATCAAACACGGGTGTATACTTTGAATTCGTTTTTCCGGTGGTATATTTAGAACTTTAATCGGGATTTTTGACATCTTACACTGTGAGTAATGAGTAATGAGTAATGAGTCTCCAGTGTCGCTAGAATATATTCACGAAATGTGTTAATAATGGCATCTGAACCAGTTAACTACTGAATGATAAGAGATAAAACTGTAGTTGATAGCAGATATACTAGTGGTTGATAGCAGATATACTAGTGTTTGATAGCAGATATACTACTGGTTCATAACAGAAGCCGTTGAGGAGAAGTGACCTGCAGTCAGCATTATCACACAGTTTAACATCCGACCTAACAAGCTTTAGGTACTGTGGACATTCTTTACTTGGAAAAACATTGGGGGCATTTCGATAGCGTTTGATACACACTAGCTTTTCAGTCATTGTATTCCAACGCGAAGCATGTACAATAGGCTTCCGAAAAGCGAAACAGCCATTCATTGTACATATGATCAAAGTCAAGAGTAACTGTGGTTATGTTTTAATTGTTATTGTGTTCTATTAGTATATTACTCAACATTTTTCTTTTTTTCAGCGAAGATAAATCGAGCTGAAGATTGACTCCCATATGCGTTCTAAAGATATTCAAATTAACCATATTCAAAATGTTACATTCATATTACGTCTCAGTTGTGGTAAAATGTCTGGCTTGGTGCTTGGTTTGTTGTTTCCATAGATAAAAAATAGTCTGTAAATCCATATAGTCATTATCATGATTATTACACGTTCTGATATAATTAAGATTTCAGTTAAAAATCAAATAAAATATTTGATCTCTTTTACTCCTACGTTGCAGTGTACGTGCTCCGAACTAAACTCTACGTGAGACCATTTCCTTACAAGGAACTTGTAGATTAATCTGCCGAGGAACAGCGGACAACAATACGCTCTGGTTTCAAGACACGACAAGAAGACAAGGAGGTATCAGCAGTTGTTTGCGCTTGGTCAGCAACAACATAATATTATGCAATAGAACAATTTATTTTATAAAAAGCGACAATTACCATTTCCATAATCATAAGAAATATCTACTAAAAGCAGAGTTCAGGGTGCTATTCCGACAAAATCATAAGCATGTGTTTATGAATCACTATCAACTAGTGATGCTACCAGGTGTTCGCGTAAAGGTGGCACCCGTCATAAGAACATGCAAAGGCATGTCAATTGTTCACCTGAACAAAAAACACGGGCTCATTTGTAAAATGTCAAAATGGGGAACTGCATCATTTTTGTCACAGATTCGTCAAATTTGGAAATGTCCTCCACATGCCTACCATAAAGCCTTATGAAAGATTTGCTGAGGCTTTGAATGTTATAACCTTGATGAAACAACTTTTGAGCAATGACGCTCTTTGAAATCTACATAGAAAGAGCATGCTCGATTGTACCTCAAAAGTTGTGAAATATGGACACCAAAGGCTGGAATATTCCTGGACATGAAGGGAAAATTGACTAAGAAAATCATATTCGGGAAGATTTCTTCTGTATATAAAGACCCTTCAAGTCGTGTGAATAAGAAGCTCCATATATCGATGCTCCATATATTCTTCTTTAATAAACTAGATTTCTGTAGACAAAAATGGCTGAAAATACTTTGCACTACTTGATAAAAGGGGCGGTTCACTGAAACACTATAATCATACGCGATTTCTAAATTTATTCATGAAAACTACGTCTTACACATTATTAAGATTATTACGATTATTTTAAGAACGACAGTATATGATAAAGAGATTATTTCCCCAAAAATACTGGCATATACAAGTTTTCTTTCTAATATGTGATATTTATGATACGGAAACACACTTTATTCATTCATTCATTCATTCATTAGTGGTTAAGAAATTATGAAAAAACAAATTTATCATGCCAGTTTTGACATTGTATATGTACATATAAATTTGTTAAAAATTCATTCATACTGTAAAGCACATCATCACACTGGTATTCAAGTACTATAATGCTCTTGTATTCAAATCCAATACATAATCTTGAATTCAAATAAAGTACAAGCTGTTGTATTGAAGTACTACACATACTTCAGTAGTAAACCTGTTCAAATACTATACATACTCTGATATCCAAATAGTGCAATACTTCATTCCACTATAAACCATGTATGCAATTGAAATATAGAACGCTGCACAGATAAACATAAAGTGGGAATATTATTATATTTTTCATATACTATTTTCAATATAATGGATAAATGAATAACCACTGTCAATCATTTGATCATTACACGATATAGTCACCCTTCTCTGCAAACAAAAACATTTAGTTTCAGTATGTATGAGTGACCACTTACTTTCGTTCATGTCAGTCTCCATAGAAGAATGCATTCAATGTCCACTGAAGATGACCCGCATCTTCCAATTACGTAGCTTGTACTAACTGACATTCAACACCTGCCAGTCTTTCTAACATGTGACAGTTTGCCACGGCAACAGAGGTTTGTTCATAGACCTTGTTACACTTTCTCACCACACCAAAACAACAAAAATACATTACTAGCAGCAGCATGAAAAATAATAAACTTCCTCAAACGTAAATATGCGGTACACTTCCGGGACTCACTCTTGAATATCAAGTCAGGAATAGTCAAACAAAAGCGACAAAACCCTTTATATATCCCCAAGATTTCTCTGCTAAAGGCAGAGGTGAATGTAAGATTCCGATTGTATCATGAGTATTCGCTGTGAATCACTATCAAATAGTGATGACACCAGGTGTTCACGAAAGGGTAATTCCCCGGTGGCACCCGTCACAAATACATGCAAAGGCACATGCAATAGTAATAACATTTATAAAAAATCCATAAAAAAATTTCCTTGTCCGTAACTAAAAGTCGTTTAAGATCATGTTGGGAATTGAGTTTAACATAGAAAATAGTTAACATCTACACATCTACAAGATCTAAACGTGTACATAACCAAAGCATGTTCAGAATATTAAGATTCAGGACTGGTATGTCTAGCAGTTTTCTTCACAATCGTAGCTTGTAGTGTGGCTCTGCGATGGTGTAGAAGGAATTAGCCAAAAGAAGTATTACAATACGAGAGCATCAACACTAGTGGCTTCAAAGAGCAAAATATGTCATCATACATATACGTTTCGTTTATAAATGACACGACAGTTATAAACAGTGAGTGAGTATTGTTTTGTGCTACTTTTAGCAATACTCCAGCAATGTCACAGCTGGAATGCACGCACTCGCAAGTAATAATAGAAACCAAATTTAGTACTTTTCCCCTACTCTTTACAGTATTCCGATCAGACAGGGAAGTGTTCTTTGTGTGTGTGACTTGTGTTTTAAGTCGCAGTATAAAACAGTATATCACTTATAACACGTTGTAAGCTTAACGATAGAGGGAATTTGATGTTAATCACCTTATAAAACCAAAGAACGAGAATGTCGCTGACAATCAATGGCTAGCTGCAGGGCGAATCCAGGATTCGAACCAACGATCAAAGGATCATGGCGGGCCTAAAGGACGCAACTCTGCACCCATGTCCCAATGTTATTTTAAACTATTACATATAAAACTGTATGTAATATAGTATACTATAAATATTTAATTCCCGCACACCTGGTTTGTGGTTTCCATCTACGGCTAGGGAATGTTTCAAAAATAGCCAAATACATATATGTTTGTACAACACATATAAAACATTTCGAAACATGGACACTCGTTTTGCTATTGGTGATGTGAAATTGGGTTGAACGTCGCGTCCAAGGTTATTCCACTCATATAGCGACGTGCATGCACGTGTGTGTGTCACTGTTTGTACTTGTCCGGACTTATGCCGATTTTTAGTGCTAGCCTACTGAGATACCATGCCGTAGTTTAACATGAATACCCCACTCAGACACAGTATACCGAGCCGACCAGTCCTTGTTTTAGCCCCTTAATGCCGAGCATTGGGTACAATGTGTGAAGCCCATTTCTGGTGTCCCCGCCGTGATATTGCTGGAATGTTGCTAAAAGCGGCGTAAAACCATACTCACTCACTCGCTCACTCACTCACTATAGCAAATATTTTAGTATGATAACTAAGGATTGATAGACTAGTATTATGTCCTAGTTCATACCTATAATATATAACAGTGACGACCATATGTCTCCAGGGCGATCTCCCG